AAATCTGTAATATTCCAAGAATTTGGGGCTCGTTTCTTTTAACTATTGTTATTCAATCCAGTTCTAAATTTGCAGTAATTTTTGTTTCTTATTTTCATCCGCTAATTGGTTTAGTACCAGAAAATCATTAATACAATCACTTTTAAATTGAAATTGATAAGAAAGTTCAAGAAGAAAAGCTCGATTCATTGTTAGAAGCAGCTCTTAAATTGAGATTGATATTCGTGAAAATTGTAAAAAACTAAAAATATAAAAGCACTCTAGAAACATTTGAAAGCGTCATATATTCGATTGTTTAAAAACATAACAAGAACTAAGAGGACAATTACTTCACTCCTAAGAAGGAATAAATGTAATAGATCTTTTTTTTATATATTCATTTCAGTTAATGATAACTGTTTCTGCCAGCCCATGGATTCCTAAACTTGGACCCAAGGGCCGTAGCAAATACACAGTACTGTTAAGGTATTCAGTATCTATCAATTCACTGAGTGGGGGTGCCTCAGTCAGGATACGAAATGTTCTGGGGAAAGGCCTTTTGCTTAGAAATGGTTGACACCCCCAATGATGACCGATTGGTGAGAGTTGATATAAAACTTTCTTTGCTTCTTACTAAAGTTAAAATTTAGTTTCTTCGAGCTTGAAGGGATTAATCGCATTACACTTAGCATATATATGTATGAGTGTGTATGTGGTAAAATAAGAGGCTACGAGTGTAAGCCTATCAGAACGATTTATATAAATCAACCTCCTCACATTTTCCTGAAACTAGTATTTAAACCACACGCTCATGAAATCATATGCTACTGCCAGTCTGTTCACATTAGTCACACCCAGCATAGAACCATATTTCACAAAACTATTGTAAACTACATGCCCTCGTGAAATCATATGCTACTACCAGTCTGTTCACATTAGTCACACCCAGCATAGAACCATATTTCACAAAACTATTGTTAAATTACATGCCCTCGTGAAATCATATGCTACTACCAGTCTGATCACATTAGTCACACCCAGCATACAACCATATTCCACAAAACTATTGTTAAACTACCAGCACTCGTGAAATTATATGCTTGTTTGTTTTTGTTTGTTTGTTTTTTAAGTTAAGCACAAAGCTACACGATGGGCTATCTATGTTCTGCCCACCACGGATATCGAAACCCGGATTCTAGCGTTGTAAGTCCGCAGACATGCCGCTGTGCTACTTGGGGGCAAATCATATGCTACTGCCAGCTTAATCACGTCAGTCACACCCAACATACAGACGTATTCCACCAAAAATAATGTTAATACCACACATTCGTAATATCATACGTTAATATACAAAATGTTTCTACTCCATCTAAACTTCTTACACCGAGTTTACGTAAAAAAAAAGTGTGTAAAATGGTTTATAAATAGTGTAACGAATTTTTTAACATAACAGAAGTACCAACAAAATGCATACTGTGTGTGTTTCAAGAGTGAATAAACAGTTAACACTTTATAATTATGGAACATTACAATTGTTATATGATGTATTTTAAACTAGTATACCAAATCAGATTTTGTGTTTAATTTAGTTAGTGTAGGATGAGAACATCCGGTTTTTTATACTACTGTCATATTGTCAAAGCAATTTGATTCTATGAAAAGGATGGAAAGAACTTTTTTAAAGATATGTCTTAGATTTTGGAAATCCATAATCTTGTTACAAAACTTAGCATTTTAATGACAAACCCTAACCGTTCTTCTAAATATATAGTATCAAACATTTTATGTTTCGTTCTGTTACAAGCAGAGTATATATTTTATTCTAGCCATATTATTTTGTCTGTGTATAATGTTTTAATTCTTTCAATGTGTATTTTCTTCTAGCCATATTATTTTGTCTGTGTATAATGTTTTAATTCTTTCAATGTGTATTTTCTTCTACCATATTATTTTGTCTGTGTATAATGTTTTAATTCTTTCAATGTGTATTTTCTTCTAGCCATATTATTTTGTCTGTGTATAATGTTTTAATTCTTTCAATGTGTATTTTCTTCTAGCCAGTATTATTTTGTCTGTGTATAATGTTTTAATTCTTTCAATGTGTATTTTCTTCTAACCAGATTATTTTGTCTGTGTATAATATCTTAATCCTTTTTTATAACAGTTCAGTTGTTTTCCTAAGGATACATTCATTCAGATTGTTAAGTTTAACTTCATTGATTTATCTTCAACGAAACTTCATAGAAGTATGTTTATGTTCATAAACTTTTACACATCTTGAACTAGCAACAAAACTAGTGTACTCAATACACATTTTGTCTTTTGAGCTCTCCTCCTCGGATGGCTTAAGCGATAACTCTGTGTGCTTATAACGCAAATTGAATTTCCATACCCGTGATGGACAGACCGCAGATAGCCCATTGCGTATCTTTGTGCTAAACAACCAGCCCCCCAAAAAATTTTAATGAAGATCCCCATACTCAGAAAGCAACGTGTGTTTTTCAACACATTTTTATATAATAACAAGACTAAATTATCAAAAACATTTGTTGTTGTTTTTCTAACTTAAGACTCCGCATTCTTAGAACAATAAGATTAGTATTACACATCCAACTGTTTTTTGTTTTGTTTTTAAAGTTTGTTTGTGGTTAAGCACACAGCCACACAATGGACTATTTTTGTGCTGTGATTGCCACGGGTATCGAAACTCGTTTCTTAGCGTCGTAAGTCCAGAGACTGAATATTATAATTTGAAACATTTGTATTTTACGTACAAATATAATTTTTAAATGGTAATATTAAAACTGTAGCATTTATCCATTTATTTATAAAAAAATCTTCTAAATCAGTTTTTTTTATTACCAACGAATTGTATTTTTCTGAGCTACAGGACTTTTACGTCATTTCCTTCAATACACATAATCAAGTTATCCAAAATCTCCCTTAACTGCACTACATTCTACAGTTTTCTGAGCAAAAAAAAATCTTATAACTGTAAGATTTAAGTTATACATTTGTTTATTAAATATACCTCGATCAGTTAAAAATGTTCTTTTTTATCCAATAGTTTGCGACCTTCTAAGCCAAGGAGTGGCTGCCATCTTTGGGCCACAGTCTATTGAACCAAGCGCAACAGTCCAGTCCACATGCGATGCGCTACATGTTCCTCACATGGAAACAAGATGGGATTTCAGAGTCCGGCCGGATAATCACACCGTCAATCTATTTCCGTTTGCTAAGACTTTGAGCAAGGCGTATCGTGACCTCATCAAGAATAAAGAATGGAAAAACCTTGCAATCGTTTACGAAGAAAACGAAGGTATCTAAACTTCAGCTCATTTCCTGTCTCCAGGTTTCTCGCTTTTTCTGTAATAAGATAGATATTATGATTTCTTTTCAAGCACATTGTGCTACTATAATAAGAGGAAAAACACAAAGACCGCCAACGTTTTTTGACACAATGAATGGTAAAATATTAGCCCTGGTGACGGTAACTGTGTTATCGAAACTAATCGGCCGTAAGTAATAATAAACATTTTGCCTTTCGTTGTTTTTTTTTACTCTTAATAAGATAGATGTTGTTGTTTTTACGCCCAAGGAAGTGAAATGACAACTACAGGATTAACAGAAATATAGTTAAGATCCACTATTGTGGAACAACAAGTTGGGCTGAAGAGAACACGTGGACGTGTCTGAGCTTGTTTTCTTATAACTTGTTGTTACACAGTAGTGGATCTTAACTTCATTTTAAATTACTTTACTGCTTGTGTATTTATCTAATGATAGTGTTAACAAGTTTGGCGGGTGTGCAGTCTGATTAATCGATTATTGCAAACTGAAAACCAATCAATATTTTTTTTAGAGGAAGTGGAAAGTTACAAAGGCTTCAGAGTGCTCGAAGGTACATATATATGCTCGTTCATTTTAGGTAGCGGCATGTCTCTTTTTTTGTTCTAGTAATGGCATAATTTTCTTTCCATTCTCTCCTTACCCACGGGTTTCTCTTATAAGCAACTACTTAAAGTGTGGAACAATTAAGGAGTGAAATAGCTCAAGTTTGAAATAGTTTAAAAGTGAAAAATTAAGTGTGAAGTAAAGCATGAAAATGTTAAATGTAAAACAGTTAAAGTGCACAGAAACTTAAGGTCCAGTGAACCAGTAAATTCCTAATAAAGATCTCTTAAGAACAGATATTTACAATATTACATCTTGTACTCGTTGCTAGTGCTAAAAATGAGTATTATAAAATATTTAACAATGAAAATGTCCATGTTGTATATTGAATAGAGAAAACGCGTTTATTCATTAATAGAAAATCAAGAAAAGCATGTTATAGAAAATGTATTGAATATACTGGCTCAGGTGTTGTTTTTTACCCTTCTACTTGAGTTTACTCGTACATAAACTCCTGGGTTACATCAAGATGACTTTTTGTCATCTGTTTCGGTTAAGAAAATGAAACTTTCACAATTTTTGAATTAACACAATTATACGTTGTATTTTCGAGTTTTAATATTTGAGGAAACGCAATGAAATTTTGAAACTTTGTTTTTCTTTTGGTATTTTTAATGTACAGTCAATACAATGAAGTTTTTGTATTGTCTAATCTCTTGTTTTATCGTCGAGAAAACGTTGTGACTTTTCCTTCCGGGTTTGTATTATTAAGTTAACACACTGAAACGCTACGCAATGCCCCTTTTTTAAACGTTTATTCTTGATTAAACCAAATAAAACTTACTTAACAACTTTGAATGTTCTTTTACATAGGCCTGGCATGGCCAGGTGGTTAGGGCGCTCGACTCGCAATCTGCAAATCGTGGGTTTGAATCCCCATCCCACCAAACAGCAGTGGGGCCGTTATAATGTGACGGATAATCCCACTATTCTTTAGTGAAAGAGTAGCCCAAGAATTAGGGGCGGCTAGCGCAGATAGTCAACGTGTAGCTTTGCGCCGTAAATTCTAAAAAACAAACAACAACAAACAAACAATCTTTTACACGTGTTTATAGCCATCTGGGGCCCGGCATGGCCAGGTGGTTAGGGAGCTCGACTCGCAATCTGCGGATCGCGGGTTCGAATCCCCGTCCCATCAAACATGCTCGCCCTTTCAGCCGTGGGGGCGTTGTAATGTGATTGTCAATCCCACTATTCATTGGTAAAAGAGTAGCCCAAGAGTTGGCGATGGATGGTGATGACTAGCTGCCTTCCCTCTAGTCTGACACTGCTAAGTTAGGAACGGCTAGCGCAGATAGCCCTCGTGTAGCTTTGCGCGAAATTCATAACAAACAAACAAACAATATAGCCATCTGGTGGCAGCCCCAGAACACCTAGAACTGCGTCTAAGACATTTAAATTGATAAATGATATTATGTCCTAAAATCTGAAAATATTTTGCAGTCTACATTCTGGCCTGAAAATTACATATAAATCTATCATTGGACAAGTTTTATGAAAAAGCTGGCATAGTTCTTTCTTCAATAATTTCGTGTCTGCCAGTGTAGTTATTAGTTTGTTTTGGAACGTTGTAGATTAGCTGTTAGACATTATCATCGTCCGCTACTGGACAATATAATGAGTATACTGTGAAAGACAGTTTTGTCATTTTTGATGAAATGCAAATGTTAAGGTTTGATAGAAATGTTATTTTATGCCAGTTTCGGTATAGAACCTCTGTATATCAATATTACCTTATCAGAAACGTTACAAACAGCAACTGGAGAGATTTAACATGAAGATAATAAAACTGGACTACCTTAGACTGTTTAAAGAAGTTATCGAATTTCCTTTCCAATGAGATCATTTATGATCATACTGACAGTGTTGTGATGGGCTCGAGACTAGTGCCTTCTTTTGCCAACCCTTGTTGTTTTGTTTTTCATGACAACATCAAAGACGATATATTATCGAAGTTATGCGGTTAACACTTTTGTTATATTTAAGGACTTTGGACATGTAACTCAATATATAGAGCATCTATATACTGAGTTTACTGTTGAACTTTGAAATGATCAACAGCTTGCATTTCTGTACACTCTGACACACAACAATGAAGACAAATGTGAATGTGAAGTTTCAGAAAAAAACATTTACTGACATTTATTTTTTCTTTTGTTAGTTTTATTCACCTACTCTTCAAGGAACATTTAGTCCAGATCTTGTCTCGTCGTGCATACAAAGTCACCAGTATATTTGAATATTTGCTTATAATGATTTTCCTATGAACTTTGCTAATAACATCAACTTAGTAGAACTACCCTGCACTGTAAACATGCGATGTTAGTAACAAAACCACTATCCGATTTTTTTCGTAGAACTTATCTACAGAGAGATTTACATGTGTTTTTTTTTATCCCTTCAAATTTAAGGATATAATAGTGTCTCTAATAACACCGAAAACTGTTTATGAATTTAAATATCTGAGATGTAGCTCTAGGTATTTTAAGGCTACCACCAGACGGCTATAAACACGTGTACAAGAACATGTACATTTATTAAGTGTTTGCTTGTTTGTAGTTAAGGCAATGATGAGGGAAATCTGTGTATTAATGAAACACTTTAATTCGTAAATTAAGGCCTGACTTATTTTTAAAGATATCTAAAGATCGTCTTTTATTAACAACTGAATCTTTACCTTATTTTCTTTTGTGTTGAGTTAAAACGAGAAAACGTTGTGATATTTGTTTTATAATTTTCATTTCTAAATCATCAAAATAAGACCTAGCTTTGTAGACTTTACTGTTTATACTGTTCAGAATATATTTTAAAACTCCGTGTTACTTGTTTTAGAGCTTTTATTTTTGAGTCAACAGGATAAAATCTCGCTATGTCTAATTTAATTTTTATATTGTTCAGTTCATTTAATACAGTAAAACGTTGTTTTGTTTGAAACTTCATAATATCTAATTTAACATTTTTATTTTTGAGTCACCACAAGGAAACGTTGTTTTTTATTATTGAGGTCAATAGATCAAAATATTATTTTATTTTATCTAGCATTAGTCTACATAATAAAACTTCGTAATGTCTAATTTTTAATATTTTTATTCTTGAATCACCACAGTAAAACTTTATCTTGTTTTGTTTGTTCTCTTTAAATGCAAAACTGCTCAATGGCCTATCTGCAGTGTGTCCAGTGAAGGGATCGGACACCAAAATTTAGTGTTCTCAGCCCTCAATCTTACCGCTGAACCACTGGAGGGCGTTTTCTTAAATCTAGCGTAGACAATATTATGAAACCTCGTGCTGTCTAGTTGAATATTTTTATTATTATTGAATGAGCACAAGAAACGTTGTTTTCTCTGCTTCAACGGTTTTATTTCTGAGTAAATGCAAACGTCATTCAGTGACTCAGCGGTAAGCTTGAGGGCTTATACGCTAAACACAGTATTTCTACACCCGTAGAGAGCAAGGCGCAGATAGTCCTTTTGGACTTATTTATGACTCGAGATAATAGGTTTACAAATTTAACATCAAAAATATTATTCCTTCTTAACAGTATATATATATATCCTCTAAAATATTAAGAGTTTGCCAACTATTTCAGTTTTGATTGGTTACTTGATGTTGCCGAGTTTCTTTCTTTTTTTACTTTATTAAAACATAGTTTTGAGAAATACAGCTCGTGTGGGTTGCGTTATTAGCCTTATTGCAACTGTCGGTTATATTTTATCCCTAGCCTGTAGAGTGAATTCATGTTTTATTCCAGTATGATTCATTGAAGTATTGATTTTCAATAGCCCTATAGACTCATCAGTCTGCAATGGTGGGTCTTCGTTGAGCCATCACTCATGATAAGTGAATGTGATGACAAAACGTTTTAAAATCTTTACCGTCATGAATTTCCTCAAAAAAGTCTTCTTCGTAAATAGTTTGCTGTAAAACTAAACTATGGTGATGAATCGTAAAACGTTAATCTAGTTTTTTAAAGTTCTGTAATATTTGTAGCTAAACCTCGAAAGTTACTTGAACAATATTTTTAAAAATATAGGTTTACGTAATCTAGAAATACAACAGTGTCTTAACAGTTAAGTTGTAAAAAAGCTGATAGACCAAAAACATAACAAGCTGAAAAAGTGAATAAGATAATATAATAAACAGAACAATGACTTAATAATTCAGTACGCATAAACCAGTATATTGAACGACATAATGATCTGATAATACTGTTACAGTGTCTTGCAAAAATATTCCTTCCCCTGTGCTGGTAATAAATTTTAGTTATTTTCTTTTGAAAGGTATAACTCAAAAGGCCAAAAATATTTATTATATTAAACTCAGTCCAATTTCTAAAGATTTCAAAGAACAAAAGTTGCATGGTTACTCACTTTAGGGATACAACACAAAATAATCTTGTCTTGAAAACACATGTTGCAAAAGTCTTCATCCTCTAACATGATTAATATTTGGTTGAAACTCCTTTGGCAGCAATGGCAGCTGAAAGTCGTTTTGGATAACCCTCCACAAGCTTTGCCCACTCCTGCTTGCAGATATCCTTCAGTTCTTGTAAGTTGGAAGGATGTCTTCGACACACAGCAATTTTCAAGTCTCTCCACAGATATTCAAGTGAATTTACGTCTGGGCTTTGGCTTAGCCAGTCAATGGCTTTAATTTTATTTCTCAGAAACCATTCCTGGGTTGCCTTTGATCTGTGTTTGGGATTATTGTCCTGTTGAAATGTAAACCTTCGACAGAGTTTTAGTTTTTCACTGACTTCTTCAGGTTTACCTCCAACATCTGTATATATTTTGCACTGTCCATCATTCCTTGTGTTTTCAATAGTTTTGTGTTATATCATTAAATTGGGTAACAATGCACCTCTTGTTCTTTGTAATATTTAGAAACTGGTCTTAGATTGATGTAATGAATATTTTTAGTCATTTGAGTTATGTCTTTCATAAGAAAATACCTAAAATTTATTACCAGCACAGGGGGGGGGGCGAAGACTTTTGCATAGCGATAACTTAACAATGTTCTTGTACATATACAAAAACATGCTTAAGCAATAGGTGTTTAACAATGTTGTTTTACACGACCAACATGAGAATAATTAATTTACGCCTTACGTATGTTGATACACTTAACAGAAAATGATTTAATAATATCGAGAATAAGATAAATTTAGTTCTAACACTTTTTCTATATTTCACGTGCAAGATTGTATTAAAAAGTCATATCTAGTGATGGTAAAGGTAAATTAGCGCTTTCTGAGAACTATTAAATGTTACTTTATTTAAAACTCACAGAGTAAATTTTTGTGGAATATAGATAGAAAAAAAGTACCAAAACAGACGTAGAACACAGTATTTGTGTGCATATTATTCTAAGTCCAAAATAGAAGCACCCCCCCCCCCTCCCGGTGGGACAGCGATAAATATATGGACTTACAACAGTAAAATCCGAGGTACGATTCCCAGCCGTAAACAAAGCGAATAGCTCAATGTGGCTTTGCTCAAACCCAACCAACCAAACCAAAATAGAAATGGTTAGAGTAATTTAGATTAAGGGCAAAGAACTGGCTCGAGACTGCCAGCAGTGAAATGGCAATAACATAAAAAAGCATGTTAAACCTACAATAAAAAGAACGTTAAACCTAGCTGTAGAATAAAATAGTTAAATTATTCGAGGTAAGATGAATGATGCAGTCTTTGGTTGCGCTTCTTCAGCTAGTCGCTTATGAAAATGTACGACACTTTGTTTAACCTTACAGCAAGCTTTCTTGCTGTTTGATAAATCAAATTAAAACAGTCTATTATGGATCTTATCTTGGAATATTCTACATTTTATAAACAATTTGTTATGTTACTTTACCCACCGTAGGTATGGACAAGATCAACACATAATGGAAAAGGTTTGTTTGTTTTTGAATTTCGCGCAAAGCTACACGAGGGCTATCTACGCTAGCCGTCCCTAATTTAGCAGTGTAAGACTAGAGGGAAGGCAGCTAGTCATCACCACCCACCGCCAACTCTTGGGCTACTCTTTTAATAACGAATAGTGGGATTGACCGTCACATTATAACGCCCCCACAGCTGAAAGGGCGAGCATGTTTGGTATGACGAGGATTCGAACCCGCGACCCTCAGATTGCGAGTCGAGCGCCCTAACCACCTGGCCATGCTGGGCCTTCAAGTAAAGAACTGAAAATAATTAATCACATAGTCATGTTTCGCAAATTAATTAAATGTTCACAGTAATTGGGGTTATCATTTTCTTTTCTTAGAAACGTTTTGTTAGTTTTTGGCGCAAAGTTACACAGTAGGCTATCTGGGTTCTGTCCACCACGGGAAATCTAGCCCCAGATTTTAGTGTTGGAAGTCCGTAAGATTACCGCTAACCCACGGGGGG